GGATTCTAACTTGAGCTTCGGAGCCTCTACACCGGGTTCTCCCCGGAGCTTCTTCATCTCCCCCGTTTCAGGTCCCCAGTTACTCAATTTAGAGGCAAGGTCGTTGACAGCTAAGACCGGTCGGATCGCGCATCATCAGTTGTCAAGGTGTAAATTCTATGAAATTTTACACAAAGGAGGAGGAAAGCAGATGAAGAAGAAGAAGAAAAAAAATGATGAGAATAAAGAAAGAGAGAGAATGAAAGAAGAAGATAGAGAACAGACCTGCCATTGCCACCCTAGTTTCAGATCTGCCATTGCAATTAGTTGCAGCGATGATGATGGAACAGAGAAAGAAAAAAAAAGGGGGAAGAAGAAGAAGAGAGGAGAGAGAGAGAAAAGGGGGGGAAGAAAGAGACGTAAAACTACACTGATAATTTCGATGTATATTTTACATCGATTATCGGTGTAACAAATTTAAAAAACCAGTTTTACACCGATTTACAATGTAAAACTACACGCTTTCCAAACATGTGGAAAATCAAATCGAGGTATAAAGTTTACCCCGGTTCGATTTTTCACCCCAAACAAGCGTGGCCTAGAGCAAAAATTAGGAACCAAACATGATCCTAGGGGTGCAAATGGATTGGATCATGATCAGATCCTATCCTATTTGGTCGAATTCGGATCGCCCTTGTTGATATTTGGATCGGATCATATAAATTAGATTTCGGATCCCCCTATCCGATCAAAAAAAAATCTGATCTGATGTGTTATATATTTATAAATATGATATATACAAAATATAATATATATATATATATATATATATGCTATTTATTTATTTATAGATATATTATTTATATTGTTTTTTGATAAATTTGTTGTATTATTTATAAAAAGCATGTATATATATAATGAAAATGATTAAAATTTACCTTTTTTGTTTTTTCTTTATTTAATTTGTTATATTTTTTTATTTTAATTTTATTATTTTTTTATGAAAACAAGTCAAATTAAATCATATCTGAAGATCCAAAGATCTGATTGCATTCGAATTCAAATAAAGTCCTATCAGATCCAATCAGATCTTCGAATTGTATCGGATCTGGCATTAACAATGTTGGATTGGATCCGAATATACCCTAATCCGAATCCGATCTGATCCATTTGCATCCCTACATGATCCCTCAAGACTCCTTTTTTCTTGTTTTTTTTTTTTTAATTACCCATATGGTTTAACTAATTGACTAAGTATACCCCTATTGTTTAATTATTGTCTAACACTATCTCTATTATTTCTGAAAATTACCATTATCGTTAAAATACTGACGTAAGGGCCGAAATGTTCATTTTGCCCTTAAGTCAAATTGGAAGCTCCTCTAATTTTGCAATGCCGTCTAGACCCCCTACTGCTTAGAAGATGCAAAGCTCAAAGACAAAACCCTGCAACATAACCGTCTTCAATATGGTTTTCACAGGCGATTCTGAAAACTCTATAAATCGATCAACATGAGGTTGTAATTCGATCGACGAGTGGAGTCTTCAATTTGAGTTTTGCAACCCTGTAAACCGATCAACATAAATCCACAACATCAAAAACATCAAAATTGGGACTACAGCTACCATAGATGTCCTTCAATCATCCTTTCCACCTTCGAACGGAGCGTTCAGTCCGATATCTCCATACCGTTGATGAAGCCTCTATTACAATTCTTGAACCCGAGCAAATCCTATTTCTTCCTCAACGCCTACCCTTACCTCCCATGGTCTGACAATCCCATGAACATTAACCTCAACTATGTGCTTTTCAAAGGGAACCAGACCTACACCGACCCACGAAACAGCTTAGCTTACACCACCCCCCTCGACTAAATAAATGCTCGACTCGTCATCTTTGCCATAACCAAACTTGGTTCCCAAACGTTCAGCTGGTAATGACTTTAAGACAGGGTGGGATGTGGTTGTGATGTCTGGTGTAAGGATCACAGTATAATGAATCCGAATTCATAGGCATTCATGACTTTAAGGCCCTGTTTCCTTTTTGGATAGTTATTTATCCGAGTAAATGCAATTATCTGGATAAGCGCATTTATCCATATTTTTTAATTTCTCATATAAATAAGGTAATGACCATTTTAGCCATAAAAATTCATTATTAAAAGGGACATTTTTGTCTCATTCAAGTATTGGCAATTCCCTCCTAGGTGGAAAAGTTATTTACCCACCTACGAGATGGGTATATCACTTACCCGGATAAGTAATACCCAAGAAAATAAATTTTTCCTCTATTTTCACATAATCTCCAAGCTAATTTGGCTAAAAAAATTAGATTGAGAGCTTGGGGGTCCCTAAAGCGTAGGCCTCCTTGAAATTGTCTCTTATAAACTTTTTTCCAACTAATCTAATTTATCTTTCCATGATCTTTGACTTCCCCCACAAAAATTTCTTTTGGGTCTTTGCTATATGATTGCATATGCCTTTGGGGAAAAAAAAAAAAAAAAAAAAAAAAACACGACATAGGATAGGTGGGACCTGAAGTCAAGACAAACTTTAACATAACTTCATTTCCTGCATAAGAGAGAAAAGGATTTTTTCAAGCATTTGTTTGGTTTTCCGTTCTCTCATATAAGTAATTAAATATGTTTTCCTTTGTTTTGCCAATATTGTGAGGCAAGACCAAGATAGGAGAATGGCTTGTTAACACATTTAATACCAATGGCTTTTGAGATGATTTTCTGAAGTCTTTGATGCATACGAAGACTGAAAAAGAGTTCAGATTTAGAGAAATTGACCTTTTTCCCGGATACCTCCCCATAATGCCTCGAAGCTTCCATGATCATTTGCTTTTGATATGTAGGAATCATTTGCAAAAAATAGAAGGGTAATAGCAGGGCACTGCCTATTTAGTTGAATACCAAAGATTTTTCCTGGCTCATACATATTCTGGAGGGTTAAAGACAATACAATTGAACAAATTAATAATCAATACGAAGACAGTGTGCCTCCTTGCCTCAAGCCTCTTGATGGGAGGAATTGCTTATCCGGGCTTTTGTTCACAAGAATCTAGTAGGGCACAGTAGAAATACACATCATGATTCATTCTATGAATCTGTCCCCAAAACCCATTTTTTCCATGACTTTTTTAATAAAGCTCCATTCAATCTTGTCGTGAGTTTTGTTCATATCTAATTTAATTGCCTTGAGACATTGCTTTTGTCTTATTATTCCTAGAGAATATGTAACTACAGGATTTTTCAAAATTATAGGAGAGGTTTTTGTTAAAATGAAACTCCAGGAGAGGATTGTATAATTGTCAGAAACCACAGGGGAGTAAGTTTATTTTAAAATGAAATTTTAATTTTGCATTGAATGTTTTCTTATTTTAGTAGACAAAAAATACCCTTAACATTCAATCTTAAAAGAACAAAAGGGCATTTCAGTGAAATGCATTTAATGTTTATTTATAAAGAAAGCAAGACAATGTATTCTAATTTAGCAAAAGAGACAATGGTTTGCAATATTTGGTAGCAGCGATTTTAAAGGAGCGGTAGACATTATTCACAAATTGGTTTGAAGAAAACAGTGGCAAACGTTCTAAAATTGAAGACTGGAATTGACTCCAAAACTTTGAAGTATTAGTTTATTCTGGTTGCAAAACTTATTGTGTGCAACGGGGAAAATTGTTGGTTTCGGATTCGCAGTAAGAGCAAGAACGGTCATCTTTGTAACATTTGATGTATCAGCAAGAGAGGCAACCGTCAATCCTCCTGGACAAACATTAGAAGGGGTTTGAGAAGCTCAAGAGATTTGTAGTGAAAATGAGGAGGAAATAATGATGAACAAGGTCATGTTGAAGATTGAATGTGGTGGGTATTATTATTATTATTATTATAAATTTCTTAAACCACTTTATCATTATTTAGTTAATTGACCAAATATATTTTTATTATTTGAAAATTGAAGTGCTCTTACTATTTCTGACAATTGAGTACTACTTTCCTTAATATGCATCACGTGACAATTGAGTACTACATTCTCGTGCAAGAAGCTTCCTTCCCGAAAAATCAATGATAGAATGTTTCTTGCCATCACGAAAAATCCTGAAACCCCCGCATATACAAGTTTCACATTCAGTGAAGCAACAAACTGCCAGTGTGGTGTTATGGGAACCAAAACGGTCTCGGCGATCTTCGGCGAGGTCGGCATAGTATTTCAAGCGGTTCCGATGGCGTGGCGTCAGGTCCTGACGGACATTCGTGAACAAAGGTGGACGAGGGGCGGCGGTGGAGTCGATGGACATTCGTGAGTAGCGGTTCTGAACAGAGCGGTGGTGACAACGAAGCCTTGTAGTTGTTCCGAACAGAACAATGACGGACATTGTTCTGCTCTCTCTCTCTCTCTCTCCCCCCCCCCCCTTCCCTGGTTCAACCTTGCAGCGGTGACAACAAAGCCTCACCATTCCTGTCTACTAATTGGTAAATTTGGTTTCAGCATTGTTCATCATCGAACACTCTCTCTCTCTCTCTCTCTCCTTCCTAGTTCAACCTTGCGGCGGTGACAAATCTGATACTCAGTTTATTATCTGAAGCAGCGAGATTTTGTACCTCCTCGCAAATCAGATTTTTGGCATAGTTCATCAAACACTGTTCGTCCATCGTCCCCAACCTCTTGCCTGATACCCTGTTCATTATCTCCATTAATGTTGAACCAGAGGTGACAAGGTTCTCCACCTCACCCAAGCATTGAACCAGCACTCTTAATTGTGCAGCAATTGTCGTCACCTGCAACTGGTCCTTCATCAGCAACACTGTGTTTCATGTAATAAGCGTCATTTTTCCTTTGTCGGCAACCTACAATTGGTCCTAAAACGTTGAAGTCAACCTCTGTTCATACCCACAATCAACATTTTGGGTTTTGGACCTAGTTCAACTTGGGTGTTCATCAATTGCCCTATCCATGAACTAAATAAATTCAAACAATATTTAATGCCATGTAGTTCATTAGCATAGGCTCACCCAAACATAAGAATATCATTTATGAACAATATATAGATGATTAAGCCTTAGTCCACACCTCTTCCAAATTTGACCCCTTTAAAATTGCCATTAAACATCCAAAAAAAGGTTAGACAAATAGGAGATAGTGGACAACCTTGCCTTAGTCCATGTTGGGGATGTATTCAATTGTAAGGCATCCCAATCAAAACCATTTGCATAGAGGAATAGGCTATGCAATGATTAATTAGTTCACAAAATGGGCAAGAAGCCACGTAACTTCAAACATTCTAAAACAAAGCCCCTCTCCTTGCAATCATAATTCATAAGCAAGGAAATCCATACACCACCCTTTCATTCTTTTAATGGAATTAATGACTTCTAAAGCAATGATCCTACTAACTGTAATATGCCAGCCTAGAGTAAATGCATTTTGCATGGGGATGAGGCAAAAGATAATTGCACAAAGTCTGAAGGTAATGATATTTGTGATAATTGTTGGAGGTTACATGCATGGCTATATTTGTAATGCTGATAAATTTTGGGGACTTGTATGTATTTATGGGAGGAAGAAGAGTATGCATGTAATTCTAATATAATTTGTTCTTTTGCCTATTTAAGCCATTAGTTGTGTGGGATGAGAATGAGAGAGTGAATGAGGACATTTTGATGTGAGTCTGTAGAGAGGTAAGTTTTAATTTTTTCTTCTCATAGTGTATGTTTTCCCTATCTTCCCTGAAGTAGAGTTTTGATCTCCTTAGGTAACATGGGGTTTTGATTTTCTTTATTTAGTTTGCTTTCCCATTGGCCAGCTCCAGTAGAGTTTTGATCTCATTAGGTGACATGGGATTTTGATTACCTTTATCTGGTTGTCTTTCCGATTGTCCAACTTCGACCTTAGAATTTTGATCTCCTCAAGTGACATGAGATTTTGATTCTCTTCATCTAGTTGGCTTTCACTCTAATCTTGGAGTTTTGATCTCCTCATGTAACATTGGATTTTGATTCTCTTTTTCTAGTTGGCTTCCCGATTGGTTAACTTTGATCATGGAGTTTTGATCTCCTTAGGTGACATAGGATTTTGATTCTCTTTATCTAGTTAGCTTTCTAATTAGCCAACTCAAGTTGGCCTTTTCCTAGCCAACTCCATTTTGCTTCATTTTGGTGATTATGAGATTATGACTTGGTTATACCCTAACTTTTTTACACGAGTTCCCCACCTCAAGTTTGAGGAAGGTGTAAAGATATGTATTGTATTTGTTTTTTTTTTTTTCAGTGTAGGTGTTGGAGGTTATAGGAGTATATTTGTAATGTTAGAGGTTATATGGGTAAATTTATAATATTGGGGACCTGCATGTATTTATGGAATGAAGAGGACTTGTGTGTAATTTTGATATAATTTGGTATTTTGCTTATTTAAGCCATTGGTTGTGTGAGATAAGAGTGTGTGTGTGTGTGTGAGAGAGAGAGAGAGAAGACATTTTGTTGAGCCTATGGAGAGATCAATCTTGTATCTCTTCTTCTCATTGTGGATGTTTTCCCTCTCTCCCGCGGATGTAAGCTACCAAGCCGAACCATGTTAAATCTTTATGCTTTCTCTCTTTCTTCTTTCTTCCATTTATTTTTCTTCTTTGTTTACTATTTTCTTTCCAAATCCTTGACAATAATAATATGCTAGCCTAGGGTAAATGCATTTTGCATAGGGGTGAAGGGGCAAGAGATAATCAATGAAACCTATAGGTAATAATTCTTACGATAATCTTAAATAAATTGGACTAATGCTTATATACTATAGTTCCAACATTTATGATAGAATAAAAAGGAGATTCCGTTTGGGCCTAGAGCTTCCATGGGCCTTATATAAAATAGAGCATCATGAATCTCTTCCTTTGATGGGATTGTCATACGTATAGAATTTTCCTCTTCAATAATTTGGCTAGGTAGTATATGGGTAGGAAATGAGGATGGATAAGGATTTGTAGAAGAGAATAAATTAGAAAAATAATTTTTGATAACACCTTAAATCACGTGGAAGTTGTTTGTCCTATTTCTATATAGACTGCACAACCAGGTAATAATGTTCTTGTACCACCATCTAGAAGCGAAGGAGTAATAAAATCTATGGAGAAGTACGGACAGACCCAATGCAGATTTCTGATTTCCACTACAGAGCTATAAACATTCAAAAGGTCAAAAACCCACACTCTATGCACCCATACCCGCCCGTGATTTGGCATCAATTCCGAAATGGCATCTACCCCGAATATACTTTGAGCTTATAAATTCTGACCCTGGGTTGAACCATCATTCTCCATAAAATCTAATGTTCTTATGTCCTTTTTGTCAACCAATGTCACTTTAAGCGTTGCTTCCAATGAAAGTTCCCCTAATTCCAATAGACAATCCAATTGTGCTAGCAAAAATCACTCATCTCCAATATTTGCATTAGTATGAGTAATATTTTGGATTTCCATAACGTGATTATTAATAAGTTTGATACTCTCACTTAACATGCCAATGGTGTCTTTGATATTTAAGTGATTTCACTTTCTTAAAATCTCTCTAAATTCCTCTACTTTGTCAAATAAAAGTAGGGGTATAAATTGAATAAGTTAATAAGTACTAAACCAAGCCCATAAGTAGACATAGGTCCAAGGCCAAAACCTATGTTTTTCAACTCAAACCTTGCCTCAAAGTTAAATCCAACACAACTTAGGATGGGTTTGAGTGGTTTGGTTAGGCGTAACTGAGTTGAGATTTGAAAGTCTTCACACTAAGGGTGGTCATTTTTACTCTGGCCTAGCCTATAATATATGTATATATTATTATATGCATTATATTTTATATTGTAAGAAATATAAAATATATTTTGTACATATATAATATATCATGTTGAAGTCTATTATTCGATGTTGAAGTCACTATGGCAGGAGTTGGATTTTATGGAAACATTTGCATGGGAAAGCACGAAAGATGCTGAAATTTTCAGAAAATTTGTGGAAAGAAACTGGGTGTTTGAGTTCCTTACAAGACTCAATCCTAAATTTGATATTACAAGGCAAAATATCTTGGCTAAGGATGATGTGTCACTTGCACAGGCATACTCTATGGTGAGCAGTGAAAAGTGCAGGCGACAGGTACAGCTACAGACCCCACCTCCTCTAGAATATTTTGCACATGCTAGAATAAAATCAAAGGGGCTGAATGAGAAAAAGGAAGTGATATGTGAATACTACAAGAAGCCAAAATATACTAAGGATTCTGGTTGGAAGCTTCATCAAGATCTTCTTCCTGAGAAGTTCCGGAACAACAACAACTCTAAGAAGGGTGGTAAGTTTAGAAAACCCAAGAATGCAAATGTTGCCATAGTGTCTAAATGTGAAGAAAAATCTGTTGTGGAATGGTTGGCAGCAGTGAAGGCAGAATTTGAGAGATATGGGAAATTTATAAATCGGTTGGAGTCTACTGTTGTATCTTCCTCCTCAGGCACCCCCTCTACATCCTCTTTTGCCTATTCAGGTATTCGTGCTTCTGCAAATCATGATACAATCCCAAGTAATCATAGAATTCCTTAGATTATAGATTCTGGTGCATCAGACCATATGACTAGCTTACCCAACCTCTTTTGCTCATACCAACTCCTCTCAGGTAGAGAGAAGATTTCTCTTGCCGATGGGTCTCTTGCTCCCATATCTGACAAGGGGAATATTAAAGCCTCTAATTCACTTGTTTTATCCTCTGTCCTTCATATTCCCAAACTTAGCACTGGCGTTCTATCTGTTAGTAGTTTAACCAAATCATTGCTGCAACATAACTTTCTTTCATACTTATTGTGTTTTTCAGGACCTGAAGTCTCAGAGGACGATTGGGAGTGGCCATGAGGTGAATGGGATTTACTTGCTGGATGTCTCTGATCAAAGTCCCGGATTACCGAGTGGAGTTGCTTTGGAGTCTGTTTTATCAGAGTCAGTTAATAGAGTCATGATATGTCATTTCATATTTGGTCATTTGTCTTTTTTTAGCTTTGAGTCATTTGTTTCTAGAAATGTTTAAGGGAATATCCCTATCGAGTCTTCATTGTGAGTCATATGAACTTGTTAAACATTGTAGACAATCTTTTTTAGTGAGTAATAAAATATCTATTTCTCCTTTCCATATTGTGCACTCTGATGTGTGGGGGCCATATCATTTACCTACTATGGGGGGCTACAAATATTTCATTCTTTTCATTGATGATTTTTCTCGTTATACATGGATTTACCTTCTAAATTCTTGGGTTGAAGTACCAAATATTGTACAAAAGTTTCATGAACTTATTCTTACCTAGTTTAACACTTGGATCAAAATATTCTAATATGATAATGCAAAGGAATATTTTTAGAAGCGTCTCTCCTCCTACTTTGATACCTTTGGAGTTATCCATTAGAGTTTCTGTTCCTACACTCCTCAATAAAATGAAGTGGCGGAAAGGAAAAAAAGACAAGTGGTTGAGGTTGCAAGGAGCCTTTTTTTTGCTTCCCATGTTCTTATTAAATTTTGGGGTGATGTTGTTCTTATAACTACATACTTGATAAATCGAATGCCTTCTCAGGTTCTGGGGTTTAAAACTCCCTTTAGCTTGCTTTTTCCAAATGAAGATCTATTTTCTCTTCCTCTCCGAGTGTTTGGGTGCACTTGCTATGTCCATGTTCACAGTCATCAAAGTCATAAGTTTGAGCCTAAAGCACACAAATGTGTCTTTTTGGGATATGCCTCAACACAGAAAGGGTACTGCTGTTTTGATCCAATTCGTGGCACTCGCTTTATTTCTACATATGTCACATTTGCAGAGTTAGTCCCTTTCTTTGGTACTTCTCTTGAGGGGGAGCATTCAGATGAGTAGTTTACATTGTCATCATTTATTCCTCTTCCAATTCCCATTGAATCTTCCATAGAGTCTACTCTAGTTGAGTCATCTATCCCTGCTCCCTCTCCTCCTACTACTCATCCCCCTTCTTTTTTTTCCTATCCTATTATCCAGAGGTGGTACCAGAGACATACAAGTTGTTTCCATGCCTTCAGATGTGCCTCTTGCTCCTTCCATCACTACTGAGATAACAAGTCAGCCCTCTTCTACCACTTCGGATACCTTCCCTGACCTTGATCTCCCTATTGCCCTTCGCAAAGGCAAATAAAAATGCACAACTCATTGTATTTCCAAACACCTGTCCTACAGCCTCCTTTCCCCTTCCTACTATTCCTTCATTGCCTCTGTTTCCACACATGTAACTCCCCAGTCTGTCCCATATGCCTTGTCCAAACCAGGATGGAGAGATGCTATGATGACTTAACTAAATGCTTTGCATTAGAACAATACCTAGAAAATTGTGGATTTGCCTGAGGGAAAGGAACCGGTTGGCTGTAAGTGGGTGTTCACTATTAAGTATCATTTTGATGGTATTATTGAGATATATAAGTCCCATTTGGTTGCTAAAGGATATACTCAGATGTATGGTATTGACTAATTAGAAACTTTTGCCCCAATAGTCAAGATGATTTCAGTTCGGGTTTTGCTATCTTTAGCTACTACTTTTGACTGGCCTTTTCATCAGTTTGATGTAAAGAATGTCTTTTTAAATGGGGACCTAAATAAAGAATTTTATATGTCTTTACCTCCAGAGGTGTATGGGAAGGAGATGCAAGGAAAGGTATGTAAAGTAAAAAAGTCTTTTTATGGCCTTAAGCAGTCTCCTAGAGCCTGGTTTGACAGATTTCAGGCTGCTCTTGTTACTTTTGGATACACACAGACTTAGTCAGATCATACTTTGTTTGTTAAGAGGAGAGATTCCTTAGTGACCTCCTGATTGTCTATGTTGATGATATTGTGGTTACAGGAAATGATACGCAGTAAGCTGTTCATCTCAAGAGTTTTCTTAACACTAAGTTTGAAATTAAATACTTGGGAGAACTCAGATATTTATTGGGAATTGAAGTTGCCAGATCTAAGGATAGTATCTTCATTTCTCAACGGAAGTATGTTCTTGATCTCCTTGTAGAGACTGGAAAACTGGGGGGTCGACCTATTGATCTAAATCATAAGTTGTTAGCGATTGAAGGTGAACTGTTGCCTGATAAGGGGGTGTTCTAGAGACTGGTTGGGAAGTTACTTTACCTTTGCATAACTCGGCCAGATATCTCCTATACAGTTAGTTTAATCAGCTAGTTTATGCATTCTTCCATAGATACACATTTAACAACTACTGAGAGAGTTCTGTGTTATCTAAAAGGGACTCCAGGGAAAGGCATCTTGTTTTTTAAGCATGGACATATGAAGCTGAAAGCATACACTGATGCTGACTGGGCCGGATGTATTAATGATAAGAGGTCTGCTTCAAGTTACTGTGTTATGGTAGCAAGGAACATTGTATCGTGGAGGAGTAAGAAATAGTCTGTAGTGGCAAGATCTTCAGCTGAAGCGGAATACAGGGCAATGGCACATGGAGTTTCTGAACTTCTGTGGTTGATATCACTTTTAGATGAATTGGGTATAGACTGTAAGAAGCCAATGATGTTATATTGTGACAACCAGGCTGCTATCAACATTGCACACAATCATGTTCAACATGACAGAACTAAACACATTGAGGTTGACATGCATTTTATATGAGAGAGAGTTGCCTCATGAGAAGTCTACCTACCATTTGTTGCTTCTGAAAAACAATTGGCTGTTATTTTGACAAAAGGTGTTCCTAAAGGAAAGGTGGTTCATTATATAAGCTAGCTAGGCATGATGGATATCTATGCTCAGCTTGAGGGGGAGTGTAGAGAGACTGGGCCAAATGGGCCCTAGCCCATTAGTGTCTTTCTTATTAGTTATTTCATGCTATGTTTTCTTATTGGGCCTTTTCTTTATGGACCTTTAGTTCTTTTTATGTTTTTCTAAGTTTAGTGCTGATGTGGACGCCTACTTAAGGGCCTCCTTGTAATTTATGTAACTTAAGTATGTTTTATAAAAGATAAGAGTAGGGGAAAGAGGAGACATTCGAACTCCTCATTTCTTTCTCCTTTCTTCTCCAATCTTCCTCCTTCTTCTTGTTGTCTCCTTCTTCTTCTCTGATTTCTTTTACTTTATTCTTAAATATTCTATTGATTTTATTAGTTTTGAATCACATCTAGGGGGACCCATGGCATGTGGGGCACTTGTAGGGCACACTTGGTGAGGAGCCCATCCAAACTCTTGCCATGTCAGCACGCCTTTCCTTTTTGTGCTAATATTTATCTATTTTGTGATTTTTTAATCTTTTGTTTTTTAAATTGAACAAATAACTCAGTTAGTCAATCAACTTTAAGACCTTAATTAAGACTTTCATCTCTCCTCATTAACTCACCATTATTCCCTTCTCTCTCTCATTAACTCCTTTAATTATCTCTTGTCATTAATCATTCCATTAACTATCTCTCCTCTAATAACTCACTCCACTAATTATCTCTCCTTTCAATTACTCCATTCAATTGTTTAAAATTCATACTCCTTTTCCTTTTTTATTTTTATTTTATTCTCTAATCTAATAAACTAAAAGCAAGTTGCTTAGGGGAGATCATTTCACTTTGATTTAGGCCTGGGCTCGTATCAAACCCACAAATTTCAAGGCCAAGCTTGGGCCTAATGCTTCAAGGCCATCGTGGGCCCAACCTAGACCATAAACAAATAACAAGTTAAAAATTAGTTAATAAAATTATCATAAATAGTTAAATCACCTAAAAATAAAGAGAGAGGGAGAGAGAGAGAGAGAGAGGGAGAGAGAGAGAGAGAGAGGATTCTAAGACATAGGTGCCACCCCTTCCATCATTAACCTATTTTAGCATATTTCTATAGGCCTCTTCCATTATTAGCGTATTGTATTCCAAAGAGAGAATTTTACTTTCATACAAATTCTCTTTATTTGTTTCATATTTAATTGGTTAATTGTTAGAAAATTATAATTTGAAATATAATAACTAAAATTAATAAAAATTACTTAAGTTTATAAAAATATTAAATTTTAACATTTTTTATCTAACAACTAAAAATTAAAATACATTTGAATTCTATTTAAAAATAACTAATATTAATAGGATAACAAAAATTAATAAGAAAAAGTAAAAAAATTATTAAAAGTATTAAAACAAAGCATTTGCATCCCATATAGAAATGAACTAAAATAATAAAACTAATAATAACATAATTAGAAATGTTATAAAACTCTTACTTAGAGATGACTATTACTTAGTCCAACCTAGCTAGACTTACAAATTTCCAAGGTTAAGCAACTATTTTTTTTCTAAGTTAGGTCTAGTTTGAATCTGCACCAAGCTCACACACAATACAGGTAATAGGATTATAAATGGATCGGACTAAGATCAGGTTAAATTGCATCCACATTTGATTATGAAATATCTAGATGTGCATCCACATTCAATTGTTATGTTGGACCTTGGATTGTATTCAGATTTAATCCAAACCATTTTATTATGTTAAAAATGACCAAAAATAGAAAATAATTATTTTGAAAGTATATATGTATAATAAATGTATATAAATATAAAATATTAAATTTGTCAATTATAAACTTTATATAATTATACATAATAACTATATGTATACATAAAATGATATTTTTATTAGACGTGGATTTTAATTGGATCGGATGGGGTTAAATCCATATCTGATTTGATTATTAACAATGCAAGTTCTAACATCCAAATCTGGGTTCATTAGATTCGGAGTTGAATCTGGTATCATACTTTCAGAGTCCATGGACAACCTTAGCGGGCAAGGCTCAAGCTAAGAAACCCCTAAGCTCAACCTAAAAGTTATATACATATATATGTTAAATATTATTATACAATATTTAGATAGAAAAATATATATTAATATATAAATAGAACTTTTTATATACTTTTTTATAATAGAAATTTTAATTGTAAAAAATATAATTAACATGGGCAAGTGTGTCCCTGTCAAGGTTCAAAGTATCAGAAATGCAAGGTGTATCGAAAAACAATTTTAAGAGATGTATCGGGATATGCTTTGGATACATATGGATATGGACGAAAAATCAAGATACACATAAATATGGTAAAAAATTCAAATAAGTCTTAAAAATATATTACTAACTATATTTACATATTTTATATGATTGTAAATAAGTCATTTAAATGTAAAAAACCATAATTTAATGATTTATATAAAGTGTGACATATCGGGACACAATTAGTAACCATTGAAAAATGATGGAATAACTAAAATATAAAAAACAAAAATAAAATAAAATGTGAATGCCAATTTTCAAAAATCAATATAATTAATCTTAATATTTATTAGTATATAAATTTTAATAATTAATTATAGCATTTATTAATAAAAACTTGTCACTCATTAAGAAAAGTGAAAATTTACTTAAAATTAAAAATACATATAATCATAGCAAATAAATATGTGTGGCTCGTTGGTAAACTTGTGGTTGTTAAAATCAAGTGACCAAGGTTCAAATCTTGCTATATCTAAAATTTGAAGATTTTACACTAACAAAGCAAAATTAATGAGAGAATTTGAAGCAGGGGCTAAAATTCAAATTTAAATTTAAAATTGCCTTGTAGTAATTGGCTAATTAATGAAAGAGAAATTAGACTTAAATAAAAATCTGGTATGTTGTAATAATAGTTAAAAAGAAACCTTGTTGGAACAATACGAATCGGCCCATATGAACCAATATGTTGCAATATTTTGAACCTTGGTCCCTGTCCTATTAATACATTATAAAAATCTGGCTTGAGATATTTTATTTTTTTGGTTAATTGGGATACATGATGGGGGTAGCCCATCCCCCATAGCTCCTTTGGCTTCAATATCTAAAAATAGTTAAAAAAACCTAAAAAAATGTATGCACGGGTTGTATTTGGTTTGGTTCCATCCAATTACGAATGTCATATTGCTCTTAGGGGTGCAACTTGGGTGGGTTGAGGGTCAATCCAACCTATTCCAAAGGCTTAAACCTCAAGCTTAGGCTTAGATTAATTCAATTATGACTACAACCTAATTTTATATATTTACTAATATTTAAGTATTTTAAATATTTATGTAATATTTATAGAAAATTTGTAACATTAAATTATTAATAAATTAAAATAAATAAAATAGAACAATAATAGATAATATGAAAAAATAATTATTTTATTAAGTAATTAGTAGCAATTTACTATTTTTGTTAAAAATTATTAACATAATTATCCAAACTGCTAAACTACTAAATTATTTATGTGACAAATTACTAAAATAAAGATTAATTATTTTAAATAACATTGAATTCCTTATGATAGTTATCAGTTTCAATTGTTTCACTTTCTTTTGACAAATCTTGTGCATTGCACAAGTCTCCATTAATAATATAGATATTAGTTATAGATAAAGGGTTATTTGGAGGTATCTAAAAGCTATGTCCTCATATCCTAAAAGCCTGAAGATGAGATGTTTTAGACATTAACAACAAAGTGAGGGGATGTTTCAAATAAGATCCATTTGGGAGACTTTAGTGCTGATTTATGCCTAGAATGTGCTGCTTTTAAGAAACTATGTACCAAAAATAGCTTCATGGAAAGTTTATTTTTCAGCGTAAGCACATGTTTGGCTTTCCATGTTTTTCACCAAATATGGCTTGAAGGCTTTTTTTTTTTAGGCTTGTATGCTTCAGGCTTTCTCCACCGAGACAGACCTTAGAAGTAGCAAATAATTTCCTTATAAGGTTTTATTTGGTTTGGTAGATTTATTTCTCTCTTATTTTTCTTAAACTATCTTTACGGTTTAGCTAATTGATTAACTATACAATCTTATGCTACTCCTATTGTTTCAAACAATTACTATGATCATTAAATCATAACGAAAAGGATGAAAATGTCCATTTTGCCCTTAAATCCTTCTCTCCCCATCCTTGCCGGTGAATTGTTCATCTTCTACAACCCTTCGACACACCAATAGAGTGGTAGCGAAAACACTTTGACAACAGTGATTGATACTCGGCCATAGCGGCCCTAATCGATTTCTCTTTCATATCTTCGGTGATTACTCACTATTTTGGGTTTCTTTTTTTCTTGTCCTCTCTCGTACCTATGTTGGTTCTCAAGCTTGATAGCTTCTTTAAAGCATCCATCTCACCTCCTCCCACAATCACTTGTTATGACCACCGTTCAGCCATCCAACATTTCCGACAAAACTCCCCATCATCGATTCTCCACTGATTTTCAAAGGTAAATAGCTATTGGCTAGGGTGGTGATGGGAAGGAGGGGGTAGATAGCGAAGATTCTAAAACAGGGCTATTTGAAGTCGTCAACGGTGTTTGATAGCGAAAATTCCGGTGAGCTCGTCTGATAGCGTAGCAGCTACTCGAGGTCGTCACCGACCCACATGGGTCCTGTCCTGTCCTCTCCGATCAACATCAACCTCATCTGGTGCAAGTGGGCTCCGAAGCTCCTCATCGAAGACTTCCTCCACTCCATCTCTACCAACCATCGGGATACCCCTTCGCCATCTGTCTCTAATTGGTTCGATTTTAGTTTGGTATTTTTGAAAAATCGAAGGAGTGGTTTAATTTTCGGTTATCATAGAAAAAAATTAACGGTTAACCAAACGGATGGTATATAATTATATTTATATTTTATATATATTTTTTAAATATATGTCACATATTTTCTATATATTATATATAAATATATACATATATTATATTTATAATTATCTATTTATAAATATTATATATATTATGCTTTTATAATATATTATATATCATTTATTATTTATAATATAATATTATATATATATATATATATATATATTTAAATAATATATATTATGAATATAAAAAACCGAAAAACTGAAGAACCGAATCGGTCAAAAACCGAAATCGAAATATATTTATAATATATTATATATCAGTTCGATTTGGTTTAGAAAATTTAAAAAACTGGTAAGATCTGTTTAATTTGCAAAATAACTGAACCATGAACACCCCTAATGATTGAATTATGACAGAACTCTAATAATAAAGAAATAATTAATTAATCAATTATTAGAAAACTTGAGGGTAATTTAAGATAATAATTAAACCTTAACGATACAATTTATAATTAACTAAACAGTATACAGTAGGGATAATTTAAGAAATTTGAAAAAAAAGTGAATGGCGCAAGTTTGCTGAGCAGAAAAATTCTTCAGAGTTGAAAAACAGACGATCCGGACCATCATTAATTTTTACGGAAAAGACGGACAGGTCCAATGCAGATTTCTGACTCGCCCGTGAATTGGAGCTGCTTCCGAGGTTAGTTTGTTCTCTTCTCTCTCTCACTCGAAGTTGGAGCTTCCGAGGTTTTAGGGTTTTAGCTCGATGAGTGAATCTGGGAACAAATTCTGGGTTCTGTTGATCCAGATTGTTTTCTAAATTTCTTCGTAGTTCTTTCTTTTATGGCGCTTGGATTTTGCACCCGTTATGCTCTAAGTAGATCTTCGAAGCTCTTCCGGTTTCCACAGTGGCGATTTGCTTCAGTGCGCCTACTGTCAACTTCAAAGCTCTTCAGTAGTGGTAAGTCTGGAGCTTAAAGAAGGCTCTGTTTTCTTTCCTCATTTTATTTTTTATTTCAGATTCTGTTAGAAGCAATTATGCTATTTCTGAAACTTTCCTGTTGGAAACAGCTCGAGACATAGAGAAAAGCATCTACACAATTCTCACAATTCATCGTTGGGAATCCCTGAATCACATGGACTATAAATTGGCTTCGCTTAGAACTGTTCATGGAAAGCTGGCCTTAAAGTTCCTTAATTGGGTTATCCGGCAACCGGGTTTGGAATTCGATCACCTCACCCACATATTCTGCATCACAACTCACGTACTTGTCAAAGCCAGAATGTATGGACCAGCAAAGCTGATTTTGCGACATCTTTCTGAAATGGGTATTGGGG